AGGGCGCGTGTTGGGTTAAATGTATATAAACAAACAGTCAAAACTGTAAATTTGGTTAAAATAAGTTTTTTTTAGCATTTAAGCAGAGATGCTTATTACGATACACCATATAGAGGTAAATGCTTAGACATGTACGTTGAATCTATGATCTAGGTAGAAACTAAAACAAGAACGTACCGTGCTATATTTACTTTGAACTAGATTAATATTGCCGAGGTCCCGTCATCCAAGTACCTATCATCCGTAGGCGCGAATTCAATAAACTTAACAGCTTCTTCGGAAAGTAATTTTACTTAATAAAGTTTTTTCTTTATTCAGACTTCTCCTTCTTCCGTAAATCTTTTAAATAAAGGGAGGGGCGTTTAGTTCTGAAACATAATTTAATATAATCCAAGCAGAAAATAAAAGGTTTTAAAGGCACCAAACTTCAATATAGGTATACATTTAATCAACCTCGAGTGCAATCAATCGTGATGTTCAAAAAGCAGGAAAAGCATTTAATTTGTACGATATAAAATATGTACCATGTACCAACAAAGGTTGTGTGGCCTGCATGGATCGATAGCCTACACTTCGGCAATATTTTAACAACGTTCAACGCCATCTTGCGGAAATAATAATCTATTAAACAAGGTGCAAAGTTTCAAATTCGAAAATCTATTTCGTTAGTAAATAAATTACACTATTACTATGTTTACTCATTCAACAACTAAAAATCGTGTAAGTTTCAACGCTAATAAGAATATAACTTAAAATATATGATCGGCGTTTCCGTAAATGTAATAGAAAATAACGTGAAAATTGTTAACTTATTCATGCTTCAAAAGATAAACCTAAGTTGTTAGAAAGAGATGTATTGCGTTGTTTTTGTATGTCGTTTAGTAAACTGTGTCTCTACCATGAGATTACAGTGACAGTTATCGCTAGTGACCGCGTAAAATGTTTGTATACAAAATTTTGTTTCTTCTTGAGACCGCTAGGGCACTGTATAATTTGCCATACAAAATCATGAAGTAATCTTACAATAGTAAAAAGAACTATTCACACAAATCAGGGCCGTGCCCGGGACATGGACGGGGCATGCTAGTTTGTATGAACTGCGGGCCCGTCCCGGCGCCGGCCCGGGTTCGTACAAAATATACGCAACTATATTTTTTTACCGAGCACGGCCCATCCACGTCTCGAGCACGGCCCTGATGTGTGTGGATAGTCCTTAAGGAAGTAATTCACGCAGTTGTCGCTAGCGGCAACTGTCACAGTCAACTTGTGGTAGAGCTTAGACTTTTCTTTTTTTTCCATCCTCTAAGTGGTAGAGGCACAAGTTTGACAACCGGTAGAGCTAAACTCTGAGATGTAGTCGAAGTAAAAAATGTAAAGAAACAACTATCACTTTCAAAGTGTCATCTCATAGACCATAAACCTTTTTTTCCACGTTCGTTTATTAACAGGTTCCACTGTACTCTGACTAATAAATTATAATTAATTAATACCTTTTTGGGTTGAACAATTTACAAAACTGTTTAGAAAAGTTTTGTGTTATAAATATAGTGGTCTTTTTTCTACGGTAAAAGAGTGTCTTTTTTTGTTCAAGGACCTGGTTCAGCCTCCATTGTAGATATGTTCGCACGAACGCAAGCAAACACAAACGTAACATTAGAGTAAAACCAAAACTTAACAAAAAAACACAAAACGAAAACTCAACAACAAAAAACAAAAACTCAACAACACGACGCATACACAGCAAGGAACACATTCGATAACGACAGCCGTCAGAAACCGAATCAGAAACCAACCCGATGTGTTGACCCGTTATCCATCCCTATTGACCAAAAACTGACTTTTCATTTTTGAGTTCATTATAATTTAACACTATTTAACAATTATCCAATTTATTATTTTAATTTTATTATTCTCATTAAAAAAACAAAACATTTCATTTAATATATTATTAACGTAATAGTATTGTAGCAATTAATTATTCACACTTCTACTTATAAGTATTTGTGTTTATAAATAACAAATTAAAATAAAAAATCGAATAAATACTAGGGTATAGGCAACGGTTTTTCATCCCCGAAACATTGCCAATAGGATAAAAAATCTTTCCACGAGAAACATTTTTTTTTTGAGATTATCTTATTAAATATGGTGTTTTAAAAAAAAAATGATTTGATAATATTTTGTTTGTACATGCACACTATTTAAAATAATATACCACATCTAGCATTGATTTTTAGCCCTTTTCACTGTTCCACTATTCGTAGAACATTTTTTGTAATGGCATCACCTTTGTTTACATTTTTGACTTTGATTTCATCTCAGAGTTTAGTACGACAGCGCGAGATGTTTCTATTCTCGCATAGAAATACCGCGCTTTATGTCGCTCTCGCGCAAATCGCGCCCTATCGTGCTAGTCCTACTGGTCACAACTGAAATTGGGGAATAAGAACTCTGCTTTCCTTGCTTTTTAGAGATTTTAGACAATTAACATTGGCAACTCTGACTTGGGCGAATATCGGCTACTGGGCGCACATATTTTGGCGAATTAACTTCGTAAAAATCTGGCAACACTGGCAATTATAGAAACAGAATGTTGAAGAAAAGTTCACAGTACCTAGCTTTGTTATATTCAATTTGGAGAATAAAATTTATGGAGTTTTACGGTGAAAATAAAAGCTGAAACAGTAAGGGTCGAAACACAAAGCTGCGAATCGATGCGATGCGAATTCGCAACATAGAATAATGCGACGCGAATTCTCACTGCTACGTTTCGGGTAACCATTCCTTCGACGATCATCAACCGTACTGAAGGTATTTTTGAAACTAGGTAGCAACATGGATCGTAAAAAGAGTGTTGCACTGCTATTATTGATAAGAAAGTATAGGAAAAAACACAAAGAAGATCAACATAGCAGGAAAGCGCGTTGCGTAGCAATCCGCAAATTCTTACGACGCGTCGCGCGTGCTCGTAGATTTTTGCGATGCGACGTCGCAGTTTTATGTTTCGACGGACGTATTGCTTTTTGAACTGAAACTGCAGGGATTGCTTTTAGATCTGTTTCCGTTTGTGGACGTGTACGTGTGCCTGAGCGTGCACTCGCGTAATCGTGCGGGTGGTGCGGAGGTCGGTGTTTTCGTGTGTGCGTGGGGAATGCACAAGTACGTACTAGTCCCGGTTCAGATCTGCACCTCTAAGTATGTTCCAGTGTGAATTGCACTGGATTATGAAGTACTCATCACTTGATTTGACTACTAGAAAACTCATGTCAATGTAGGTTCAACTTTACAGAAACATAAAGTTTCCGTCCACCTAAGTGAAGACCCGTCACAAGAACGGAAATGAAATGAGTCGAACTTATAAAAAGCACGAACCTTATTTCATACTGACGTAAAAAAACTCTTTTGTTCATTAGGTTTCATCAAAGTGGAAGTTAGTTTTATTATCGGAGCTCATTCACAAGCTACATCATGATAGATATAAAGTTTAAACAGTGGTAAATGCAATGAAGAATTAAATTGAATTAAAAGTTAAGAAATTTACGGTAATTATTGTTAACGTACGTGATGTTTGTAACTATTTACAATTGAGCCCTTATTAAGTTGTGGAATTATAAAGTAAGTTTTTACCCTCCCCTGCTAGATTGCTGATATTTTGTATAATAAGTTTATACTTTTTTATTCGTATTTGCATTACAATATACTTTATACATCGTTACGGCCACGGAGGTCATCAAAAAAGTCGAATTATAAAGTGTTAATTTTTTATACTAACATTTCGATTGATGTCAAAAGCGCCTTTATGTCAAAGTCTTTTCAGTAAAGGTTAAGGAGCTTTCGGGGATCGAGTAGGCTTTAGACTCATATCAAAACGATAATGAAGCTTGTCCCTCGTAAGTCTCACTCGATCGATCTACTTTGCCCATCACACTCTACCAGAAATCTGAATGGAGCACCAACTATTTGCTAATTAAAATCGAAATAAAAATAGCTATTTCTGTGGAATAAATAAACACATAATTATTCTTATATAAAAAACAAATTTCATTGATGGATTACGTGTTTACGCGATCCCTCTTCGTCAACGTAAATGTAATCATAAGAATTGTTAATCGATATAAATACCGACAGAAGGAAATGGGAAGCGACTGCCGTCATTCGTCAATTGCGTAGCTGCATGTTTATCGCCTTATTATTTAGAGGAACTGACAGGGAAAGATTGGAAATAACCAAATCAATTATTGCTCTCCTCCTCACCGTTATACTACCGAATAATTACGACGGAATTCTTACAAAATACTTAGTCATAAAGGCGCAAATAGAAAATGGCGAATATGATATTTCGTTTTGTTTTAAATCTGGATTGTACAGATGAAAGATTTACATTCATTTATGGTTATATCAACAACATAATATACTGAGGTGTAAGATAAGATTTTCTTTACTAAAAAAGCAAGAAATATGTAAAAGTAGGTAGGTATGTACCCCTATCTTGATACAACGGTATTTCTCTTAGGAGGCTCACTTTTCCTGTTCTATGATATAATAATTTCTTTGTAGAAATTATAACACCAAACTAAAATATAACTCCAAAAGCGTATGAGAATGTCGGAACAGGAATAATTTTACTCCATAAATTTGAAAACTAGGTTGTCTAAACTTCCTGACATTAAATCCTAAACTATTGTGTTTAACAGTGAAAAAGGAATTTCACAATGTTTTCACATTAATAAAATGTCCAAGCAAAGTAAAAAGATGTAGGAACTAAAGATGTTATCAATTCTGTAATATTAGGAAAATACCACAATCTTCAGGAGTTCTATTCGTAAATTTAAAATTTTCAAAATAACAAACCCTATTATGGGTCTCGAGTAACAAACCAGGCAAGAAAAACGATATTTTTGTCATATCCTCATTTTACACAGGCTCGTATTCAGCGAAGCAATTTGAGATTTCTTTTCTTAGGGTAACGATGCAATAAAAAGCGCTATTTTCTATTTCAGGTGTTTATAAAGTCGGAGTTAAAGGTGGGGGTGATCTATGTGAAGGAGAACCAGTACACTGAGGAAGAAATCCTGGACAATAATGAAAACTCGCCGCTGTTTGATGAGTTTTTACAGGTGTTGGGTGAAAAAGTGAGGTTGAAAGGTACGAACGCTATTCATAATAATTGTTACGAAATACTTTTTTCATGGACAAGTTAATTTTATAAATGATAAAGATTTCTCAATCTTACAATACAGTATTAAATTTGCTTATACCTAAGTAATATAGAGAACAGGTTGACGTATAAAAGATAAGACCAACTCGATTCAAAATGTTTTTAATTTTGAACTGCTCTTTCGGCTGGCAGATTCCCTTAAAAATTTACTTTGTTCTCAATAAGGACTTCAGTTTGATCTAAATTGGTAGTTCTGTTTTCTTTCCTTCTTTAATATATGTGCAGTAGTCCCGAATTCATTGTTCATGAATGTAGTAAATTACATCAAGTTATTAAGGAGTTTGGAACATATTTGTGGCCTATCGTACATAAAAAAAATATAATTAAATATTTTTAAACACAAAAATACCATCCAAATATAAAGTAATTATTTACTTTAATATCATTTAAAGTAGAAAATAAATTAAATGTAAGTTACACCACTTTTGCGCTGCTAGAGTCAAGTTTTTTAACGACTATTTCATGCTTATTTACGATTCCTACCTTACCGCTAATCCTCTTTTTCAGGCTTTGACAAGTACAAAGGCGGTCTAGACACAGTTCACGATCTGACTGGACTTTATTCAGTGTACACAAATTGGCGGAGCATTGAGATCATGTTCCACGTCTCCACGCTCTTGCCTTATGAGCGACATGACGCACAAAAGTTGCAAAGGAAAAGGCACATTGGAAACGATATTGTTTGCGTGGTTTTCTTAGAGGCCGACAATACTGCCTTCTCACCAGCTTGTATAAAGAGTCACTTTTTACATACTTTCATTTTAGGTAAGTTTCGTAATGAACCACAGGTAGTCACTTTTTGGACAGTAACAGCGTTTACCGTAAAATTAAATATTAGAATCTGATAGGAGCACCCCGATTCGCTATACGGATCTCAAAAAAACAGTAATATCAACATTCTGTGTAGTTGCCACCTACTGACTTTTAACTGCCTCCGTGGCCGAACGGTTACCATACCGGACTGCCACGCAGAGGTCCCCGGGTTCGATTCCCGGGCCGGGAGAAATATTTGTATGGCCTACATTTATTTCTCTCGTGAGTTTGGGTGTAATTTGTGGTTGTCTATGTGTGTGTCCATGGCACCCGCGACACAGGGTTTCCCTAGTGTGGGGCTATGTTGAGTGTGTGCGTTATTATTATTACTGATTCCTCACAGAGAAGTATCAACAACGTACTGACAAAATTCGAAGATATACATTGAATCAACTTAAGCAAGAAAAGTCCTGATATTTTTGTGTATTGTAATGAGGG